CGGCCTTGGCTGACCCCCACAGGCCCAGCTCTCAGGAGGTGGATAGCGACCTGGAGGAGGAGGATGAGGAGGAGGAGGAGGAGAAGGACAGAGAAATCCCAGTGCCCCTGATGGAAAGACAGGAGTCTGTGGAGGTACTGACCTGTGTTTGCTGACTGGCAGGACCCTTTGGAGAAACCAGGAGCCTGGCTGGTTCGCTGGGTTCTTTCTCTAGCTCAGTACTTCTCCAAAGAGTGTGTTTCCACTTTGGATGTTGGGCTTCCCTGGTGCCCTGGTACTAACTATGAGTAGCAACACCCTGCCCCATCACCACTGTGACTACCAGCCTGACTGTGCACAGTTCCAAATGCCCACTTGGAAAATGGTTCCGCCCTCATTGGAGAAACACTAGTGGGGCCTCAGTTTTTCTTTCTTAAAAAAATATTTGTATTGATTTCAGAGAGGAAGGGGGAGGGAGAGAGAGAGAAGCATCAACGATGAGAGAGAATCATGGATCGGCTGCCTCCTGCATGCCCCACACTGGAGATTGAGCCCGGAACCTGGGCATGTGCCCTGACTGGGAATTGAACCGTGACCTCCTGGTTCATAGGTCGATGCTCAACCACTGAGCCATGCCGGGTAGGCTGTGTCTCAGTTTTTCCATCTTGAAGATGGCCATCCTAGTTGGGGACCTTCAGAGTCTTGTTCTAGCTCAAAAATCCCATGACTTAACCGTTATGAGATGTTGGGCAAGTCTTTGCTCTCCCACCACAAGCCTCAGTTTCTTTATTTGTAAAATGGAAAGCCTCTCACATTCAGAGGGACTTCTCCACAGCTGGCCTCCGGAGGGGCACAGGAGCTGGAGTGCCCCAGGTACCCGAGGCTCTGGGGACGAGGGTTCTTGGCCACAGGAACCTCTTTCTGGGCCCTGGCAGCCTAAAGCTGCTTCTAAAGGCATCCTTAGGATGCAGCCAGAAGTTGGGTCATGGCCAGGATGCCTGCTCCACCAGAATCCAGCTCAAATGTGGGAGCTGAGGCCAGGGACTCTCCAAATATATGTCCAGTGAATAGGAAACTGGGCCAACAGGCAATGCGTTTCATACATTTTTAGACTTCTGTGTTTTCCTCCCACGCCAGGTACTCAGCAGACTGCTCTGTTTCACTTATATGAAATCATTTGTCTTGATTGCAAATGGATGTAGGCGCTATTATTAGCTGTATATGTAGATAACGGCACTTAAATACAAAGCAGTTACACAATTTATGTAAGCTAACGAGTGGCAGAGCTAGGATTTGAACCCAGGAAGTCTGACTTCCTGACCCACAGGCCTAACCACTGCACTATGTAAATGAATGGAGAGAGCACTGTGTGAATGACTGGCCTAGTGAAGGAGTGCATGGCATCTGGATTGTGGGGTGGCTTTTTAAAAATATATTTTTATTGGTTTCAGAGAGGAAGGGAGAGGGAGAGAGAGAAACATCAATGATGAGATAGAATCATTGATTGGCTGCCTCCTGCACGCCCCCTACTGGGGATTGAGCCTGCAACCTGGGCATGCGCCCTGACCGGGAATCGAACCGTGACCTCCTGGTTCATAGTTAAACAAGCAACCACTGAGCCATGCCAGCTGGGTGAGGGGTGGCTTTTATGATATATTGAAGAGTCAGGGATGAAACTAGGGGGCTTAAAGGTCTAGAAATGGGATGTAGGGTTATCTCTGGCATTAGACTTAGACTAGCCTTTGAGGTATTCTGAGAATTCTGGGGGCTTGGGTAAAGGTTAGAGTACAAGACTTTGGGTCAGGTTGCCTCTTCTCCTTTCCAGTTGACCGTGCAGCAGAAGGTGTTCCACATTGCCAATGAGCTCCTGCAGACCGAGAAGGCCTACGTTTCCAGGCTCCACCTCCTGGATCAGGTGAATAACCCCTCGGGGTCCCGGGGCCCTGGGATCTGGTAGGTGGATGCCCAGGAGGAAGTGATAGGACCTGAGCCCAACCCTTCCATTGGGGCTAGAATCTAGAGGTGGTAAGGCTCCTCTCTGACCTTGACCCCCATCCTGTCCCTAAAGTCTACTTTGATTATGACCCCAGACTTGATTTTTATACCAACCTTCATCCATAACCCTGGGTGGGTACACCAGCCCTAACTGCAACTCTGACCCAGATCCTGAATTGACCCCTGCCTGTAAACCAGACCTTGAAACTCATTCTAACACTGACCCCAAATCCACTAGAATCACTAAGGGCAGGGACTTTTAACTGCTTTCTTCACCGCCTGGCACACAGTAGGCACTCAAAAATATTTGCGAAATGAACAGATCTAATTCCAACCTTCTCTCTGACCCTGAATCTAATTCTGACCTTGACCCTGATTCTGACTTTTCATTGTTCCAGTGCCTACCTCTAGGTCCTAACCTTGACCACCTGATCCAACCCCACATGGAAATCTAACGCCATTCCCTCTCTCCTCAGTCTCAAGACCATGCTGATCCTAAAGGTCCACAGTGCTACCCACAAACACTGCCCTCACCTGCGAGCCACCCCTCCCCTAGCCAAACCCCAGGCCCAGCTGGCTGAGCCTTCTGCCCTGCCCCACAGGTGTTCTGTGCCCGGCTGCTGGAAGAAGCCCGGAACCGCAGTTCCTTCCCGGCCGATGTTGTCCACGGCATCTTCTCT